ACAAACTAGAAATTGGTTCTTATGAAACTTGTATCTTGATGAGAAAAGACAGACAAAAACAAATAAACAACATGATATCAAATGGAGTTGTGTGCTGTGCAAAGAATTAAAAGAGGATTATGTATTGGGCAAGACTTTCCATTTTAAGCTGAGTAGTAGAAAAGTCTTTTCTAAGTAGGCAATATTCAGTGTTATATTTGAATTGTAAGAAAGAGCTACACATTTTTTTCGTTGCTGTCCCTTGAATTTTCTGTGCTAGGTTTTTTTATACTTTCATTCTACTGGCATTTCTTAGACTAGCTCCTTTTCTCTAAGGGCTTTGATTATTATCTTTCTGCTAATGATTCTGAAATTCATTATCTTTAGCTTAACCCTTTCTCCTGAGGTGTAGACCCAAATATACCAACTCTTGGACACTTGGTACTTGGAAGTTGCCAATTAAATAGGTCCAGTACAGAAGTCATCCTCATCAGTCTTCCCAAATATATTCAGTTATCATTATTCATGGTAGTTATGCATGAAGTCACTGTAAGCACTGAATTAGTGAATTTTGAACTGTTGCTTCTAGGGGAAATACACGTTAGTTTCCTATGATCTTTTGGTCATATTTTCATCAAGCAGTCAGTATATGTCCTTGATTTATGCTTGTTTAAAGATACCCTATTTAATGTATATTTTTGATTCATGAACATTGAACTCACAGCCAACAGCACTATACTAATGCTTGAAAGCTGCTTATCTAACCACATGTGTTTTATCTGTAAGGCACATCATAGTTTTCTTGAGCTTAGGAACAGTAGATATTAATAGCATGTCAGCACTATGGTTGGGGGCTATTTTAAACAGCAGAATCACCAACAAAAAGTACAAAAATGCAAAAAATGTGGCAGTGGAAAAACTCTGATAATGATGCTTGTTTACAGTATGAAAACTAAAACAAGAAGGCAGAGCATTGCCTTGTTTAACTTTATCTGGGAACATGAGCATAAGACAACTCAAATTTTTCACTGCTCTGCACGTCTGTGAATGATCATGAAAGAGTTATGAGTATTGATTTTAGGTTTACAAATAAATTTTAGTGAGTAGGAAAACTGGCAAAATATAGAACCTGTGAATAATGAAGACTGACTATATATTCCTTCTGCTTATGTTCCCTCCCATTAATGACATCACCATCAAACCAATTGCCCAGGTTAGAAACCTTGCATCAGCTTTTTTCCTTCCTATCCTTAATCACCTATAACCAGCTAAGTACCAGCTTTTATTTCCTAAATCTGTCTGAAATTTGGGCTGATATTTTTCAATCTAATTTTACTTTTCTTTATTCTACTCTCTACAGTACAACTTTCAAAATGTCTAAAACTCTTATGGTCTTTAAAGCCTAAATATCTTAACATAATTCACAAAGCCCTCCAAGCTTCATCTTTTGTTAGCTCTATACCTTACACCTGAAGTTCCATATGTGGAAAATGTCTTTCAGATTCTCGATATATGTGATGCCTTTTTTCTTTGATCCCCTGTCTCTACTGGGAACATTTCCCCCCTTTCTCTTTACCTGGCTTACTCTTCTGACTAATTTTTCAATTAGGAATAGGAATATAATTTTTCCTGAGAATCTTTCTCTAACACCCTCCACCCCACACCACTTCAATCTATAGCAATCTGTAGTTTATTTTAATGCAATTACTTGTTCATTTAATTGCCAACCTTCCACCATAGCCTATAAATTCAGTCATGTTGGGGACCATTTGCCATGCCTGTTGAATGGTAAGCACTTAGTATATGAAGTGATATGTTTTTCTGTGAGAGTGTATGTATTAATTATCGTAAAACTTTTAGAATGGTGTAATACTAATGGCATAAAGTAGAAAAAATAACAACTTTTACTTGTCTCATTATTGCTTTAGAGCCATTTGCTTATTTCTTCAACAGCTTTAAAAAAGATGCTAATGATTGAAAGAATTTGGAGCTGAAGTACAACTTCTGTGTTTTGTTTTGTGACCTGTATATGTATAGTTAGGCACTTCACCAATTATTCAACTGGACTGGCCAAAGATCTTCTTCTCAATTCTAACTTTAAGCACTGACTTGACGAAATTGGCAGAGGTAGTAGAATAATCAAAGGTGAATTTATGTATCAACCACTAAGGAAACTTCCACTCATTTTTGTAAATGGGAAGCCAGACCTATTAGACATATTGGTGTTTTCTTTTCTTCTTATTCTATTGAAGGAATATTTGAAAGACAAAATTGTACCAGTTTATAATTAAGTAGAGGTTCAGGATTTGGTTTTTATATAGAATTTCATCTTACGTGTTTTCTATCATTTACAACAAAAAAATTAAATTAGTAATTTATGGTCTAATTAGAGAGAATGTTTCCCCTAACTTCTCAAGTAAGTGTATCTTGGCTCCAAAGCATGTTGCATATGTAATGTCACACTAGAATAATAAAGGTCCTTTAAAGCTGTTAACCTTAAAATGAAAAGCCCTTTAGTGTGTACAGAATGTAATTAACATTTGATGATACCACTATGCTATGAAATTGTGACAAACTGGGAATAACTTTAACAAACCAACTAGTAGTTTCCACTTCTTATTTCTTTTCTTTCTTTTTTTTTTTTGAGTTGGAGTCTCACTCTGTTGCCCAGACTGGAGCGCAGTGGCCGCTTCCGGCCACCGCAGCCTCGACCTACTGGGCTCCAGCGATCCTTCCGCCTCAGCCTTCCAAGTAGCTGGAACTACAGGCACGCGCTACCACGCCCGGCTAATTTTTGATTTATTGTAGAGATGAGGTCTTGCCAAGTTGCCCAGGTGGGTCTCGAACCCGTGGGCTCAGGCAATCCACTCACCTCAGCCTCCCAAAGGCGTGGGATTACAGGCTGAGCCACCGAGCCCGACTCCACTTCTTATTTCTTAAATGGAATCATTTGCTTCCTCCTTAACTTATTTACTAAGAAAGCCTTGAAATCACTGTCCTAATATTTGCTTTCATTTTATGGGCTGAAAAGTCAGGTGTGTACAGTTATAATCACTTAAAATTGTGAAATCTTTGTTTTTAAGCTACACCAGAGTTCAACAAATCATGACCTGTGGTCGAAGTTCAGCACACTGCTTATTTTTGTAGGGTCTGAAAACTAAAAATGGTCTGTATATTTTTTTAAATCAAAGGAAGAGGAATATTTCATCACAGATGGAATAATTATATGAAATTTTGGTTTCAGTTTTCACAAATCATGTTTTATTGGAACACAGCCTCACTCATTTATGTCTTATCTGTGGCTGCTTTGCACTACAACAGCACAGTTGAGTAGTTGCTCACTAAGCCCAGTATATTTGCTATCCTACACTTTACAGAAATTGTTTGCCAGCACATGTGCTACACTAGAGTGTTTATATTATTTAGTACTTTAAGTTAACTTCCAATTTTGGACCACTTTAGGTATCTAACAAAGAAGTCATGATGAATATAGTTCTTCAAATTTTTTGGGAAGGAGAGGAACGGTGAATTATGTATTGCATGAAGTTTATACTTTTTCACATAGGCAAGGTTTTCAGTTTAATAATTGATTTTATCTTATGTAATTTTAAAATAAGTACTTGCATAAGTGCTTATTATTTATCAGATATTGTTCTAAGAGCTTTATAACTCCTCTAAATTTTCATTACAACCGTATGAAGTTGACATCTCTATAATGAGAAAACCACAGTATACATAGTAGTGAAAGTTAAATAGTGGAACTTTAATGGAAGGGAAATTATATAGCTATTTATAACAGTTATACAGCTAGTAAGGGACAGAGTCACAATTTGATTGTAATAATCTGGTTCCAAAATCAGTGTTCTTTGCCACTGTGGTAGGCTGTCTTTCCCTTTCTACTCTTGCTTATTTAGAAAATCCTTGGATTAAAAGTAGAATTTAGTAATAAGTGAGGTACGATATTTTTAAAACTTTGATCTTGTTTTAAAAATTTTGAACTTGTATTAGTTTCCTAGAGCTGCTGTAGCAAAGTACCACAAACTGGGTGGCTTGAAACAACAGAAATTTATCCTATCCCAGATTTGGAGACTAGAATTCCAAAATCAAGGCATCAGAGGGGCACGCTGCCTCTGAGGCTTAGGGTAGGATAGTTTCTTGTGTCTTTGTGACTTTTGCTGATGACTAGCAATCCTTCACGTAGCTTACCTTGCAGCTGTGTCACTCTGATCCCTGTCATCATCATATGATGTTCTTCCTGTATGTCTCTTTTTAGCTTTTAAGAACCCAGGCAGTCATATTGTATTAAGGGCCCACTCTACATTAGTATGACAACATCTTAATTTAACGAATTAGATCTATAATGGTCCTGTTTCCAAATAGTTCACATTCTGAAGTTCTGGACAAGACATTGTTCAATCTAGTACAGAGCTCTTATTTCCTAGAGTACTTGTGAAACCCTAAATGTACAATGGAAACAGCACCAAGAACTTCCAGAGCTTTTTTTCTTCTTTTTGGTTTTAATCCTGTACTAGATTGTATTCTATCTAGGGAGACTAATTTATTGTTCTCAGTTCTTGCCTTTTTCCCTCTTCCCATTGGCCATTTGCTTATAATTCATTTGAAGGCTGGTTTTTATTCTGGATGTTTTTCTTCTTGAATGCTGTATGAGTTTTTTAAGGAAAATTTTCTTGTTATTATAACAAACGGGAAGGATGGTTTGCTTTCATTCTTGTGAATCTGTGACAGTTCATTCAGAAACCAACTTTGGTGTACTGATGACTGAGTTCTGATAGTTTCCTTGTAAGGATATTGTGTATCTATCCTTGCAGGGGTTTGCAAGTAAGGTTTAATAAATGGTAATAGTTATTTTATTTTCTATGGTTACTATTATTGTTAAAGTAGCAGATTTTGAGAAATGTAGTGCTACCTCAAATTCTAGACCTGGAGCCTTCTCTTTTCCCTTGAAGTACAAGAGTAATTGGTCCAGTGGTCATTTCATTTTTCTTTTGTTTATTTTACAGGGTGCCCGAGAAACATTTGAGAATTACTACCGAAAACAGAGGCGAAAACAGGCCCGTTTGGTACTCCAGCCACCATCTAACATGGTAGGATTGCCACCTCCACTTCCCTTATATTTTCACTTTTCTTCTTTGGTATCATTTGACTTGGAATAGAAAAATAATGTCTGTTGATTGCTTTGTGAGGCATTGGTCTAAGTACTAAATGCGTATTATCTCATTTCATCTTCACTTCAATTCCATAGAAAAGGTACTTTCATTATTTTTACCTTATAGTCTAAAGAACTGAGCCTGAAGAGGTTAAGTAACTGATTTTACCTTTGTCTTAATGTAACATGACAGAAACAGTAATTTTTTTCTATCCTTTGTTGCAGCATGAAACTTTAGATGGCTACAGGAAATATTTTAATCAAATTGTAGGGTAGGTATATATATATATATTTATTTAAATTTATACATGCAATTTCAATACATGGATTTGTGAGACTTGAAAAAATAAATCAGGCTTTCCTTGGGCATTCTTCTTGTTTTCTTTTTTTAAATCCTTAAGATATGTTTTTGATTTTCTGATGATTTAAAAGGAACATCCTGTTGCTTTAAACATTATATTGTTGGAGGCTACTTTTTGTGGATAAAGGGAGAAAAACATTGAATTGTAATCTTATTATACTTGATTTTTTTTCCTCCATTCTTGGTAAGATGGAGCCAAATAGTCAACAAAAGTTGGCAAACTTATCCTAAAGGGCCAGAGAGTAAAGTATTTTAGGCTTAGCAAGTCATATGGTCTCTGTCACAACTCTTCAGCTCTGTTGTTTTGGTGCGAAAACAGATATAGACAATACGCAAAAGAGTGAACATGGCTGTGTTCCAATAAAACAATCTTTATAAAAACAGGCAGTGCGCCAGGTTTATCCCATGGGCTATAGTTTGCCACCGTTTACTAGAGTACACATAGTTGTATGGAATTGCAGTTCCCAAATAAACATCCCAAATGCAGGCAGCTTGTTCTAATTGCAAGATAATTACTTTGAAATTAAATGAAAAGGAAATGACTTGGATTCTTCCAAGTTCCTTTTTTTCCTTCATTTTAAAAATTTAGATCATTTCAGTGTAATTAATCATCTTAATTAAAACATATAATCAAATTTCCTTAATAAATAATTTTCATTTTCTTTTTTTTGAGTTGGAGTCTCACTCTGTCACCCAGGCTGAAGTACAATGGCATGCTCACAGTGACCACAGCCTCAACTTACTGGCCTCAGGCGATCCTTCTGCCTTGGCCTTCCAATTAGCTGGAACTACAGACACACACCACCATGCCCAGCTAATTTTTTAATTTATTGTAGAGATGAGGTCTTGCCAAGTTGTCCAGGCTGGTCTCGAACCCTTGGGCTCAGGCAGTTCTCTTGCCTCCACCTCCTCCAAAGTGCAGAGATTACAGGCTTGAGCCACCCGGCCCAGCCAAGAATTATCTTTTTACTATGAACATTTAGGCAAGATAACTAAAGGTACATTCTAAATGCATAATAACAAAAAGCCTCAACAAGAATGTTCAAAAATAAGTTTGCTTTTTTTTTTCAGCCTTTATAAGCTGCCTTGTCAACACTTCGATGAAAGAATCCACATCAGGGGAATTATTTTGCTATTTTTTGTGTTGAGTTCTTTAAAAAAGTATATATAATATGCTTATATATATATAATAAGATAATATATGTATTTTTTATATATATATGTAGAGAGAGAGAGAGAGAGAGAGGTATATATACCAGCTTTTGTTGTCTCTTTAAATCTATCAATTTTTCTTGAGATATTTTGGTGGTTTGGTGTTTTTTATTATAGTGAAATTAGCCTCCATAACCTGTACATATCTTTCTCCCTTTTACATTGCTGCATGAAATGGTTAACATTTACTAAAAATGTAACTTCCATCTCTGTAGAAGTTATTTCAAAGATATCATGATCACAGCCATAATTCTTAGTCTAAGAAGTCTGATTTCACTTATGATGTCAAACAGCTTCAAGAAATAAATGACTACTGTCTTTGAATTTAATGGCAGCTCTTAATGTTTATCAGATCCTAGAGATAATTATCAAACTATTGTATCTGATAGTTGTGCTTTCTTTTTTCCTCCATCTTAGCTTTTTTGTGGTTGAAGATCACATTTTACATACAACCCAGGGCTTAGTAAATAGAGCCTACATCGATGAACTATGGGAAATGGCACTTTCAAAAACCATTGCAGCACTCCGTACCCACTCGGTATGTAAGAAGCCCAAGAGAAGGTCTTACTTTGGGCTGATTATCTATACTATTCAGTGTTTTACTGCTTTAAAATCAACATATGTATTTCTTTGGAGGTATATGTGTCCTTCAGAGACATACAGAAATAGTCCCTTCGGGTTGCTATATTTTCTAACACTGGGCTCACTTTTGTGGATGCTCTTTGCAATGTGAAGACAGCAGCTAAAGCATGATTGTTCACTCTGTGTCAGACATGATTCTGTGTACTTCATAAATACTCTTATTTTATTCTCACTGTAAGCTATAAAATTAGGTGTTGCAGTTATACATACCTTATAGTGTAGGGAATTAAACTTCAGAGGTTAGGTAACCAGACTAATGCCACACATTGAGAGGTGGAACTTGGATTCAAAGGGAACATGGACTCTGGAGCCCATGTTCTTACACACTACCTCATATTGCCTTCTATAATGCCTATTAATATTATTAACACTGATTTGGAGTTCATAGTTTTACTGTTACTTTTAGAAATGACATCAAATACAATTGCATGATGAAGAAGTGAGGGTACGTTTTTCTACTGAAAGAGCCCTATCGATTTGTCACATTCTCAAATGTGTCAGTCACACATAAAAATTCAAGAACCATTGCTTTATGAAAAATGATGGTGCTTAGAAGAAATCTGTTTTTTTTTTTCTTTTTAATATGTGGGGTGTGATTCAGGGTTAGTTATACAAATGTTCATTTGTGCAAGTACCCTTGTTGATGAGGTATCTCTCTTTTCCTGGAAGTTTCCAACTACTGCCAATCCCTTTCTTACAGTATTATGATAGCTGTTCCAGGTCCACTTATGAGTCAGAATATGTGATACTTGGTTCTTTGTTTCTGTGGTAGATCACTCAGTATTATAGACTCTACGTCTATCCAAGTTGCTGTGTAGTTCATAATTTTGCTCTTCTTTAGGACTGCGTAATATTCCATTGTGTATATGTACCACATTTTTTTTTTTATCCATTCGTCTTTTGATGGGCAGCATGGTTGATTCCATGTTTCTACTATTGTGAATAATGCTGTAATAAACATGCGTGTGCAGATATCTTTTTCATAGAGTGATTTGAGTTCCTCTGGGTATATTCCTAGTAAGGGGTTTGCGGAGTTATATGGAAGGTTGATTTTTAGATCTTTTATGAATTGCCACACTGTTTTCCGTAGAGGTTGTACTAGTTTACACTCCAAACAACAGTATAGAAGTGTTCCCTTTTTGCCATGTCTCCTTCAGCATCTGTGGTTTTTTGAGTTATTGATGATAGCCATCCTGGCTGGAGTTAGGTGGTATCTCAGTGTGGTTTTAATTTGCATCTCCTTGATGACTAGTGAGGCTGAACATTTTTTTCATGTATCTGTTGACTGGTTGTGTATCTTCTTTTGAGAAGTGTCTATTCATATCTTTTGCCCACTTCGTCATGGGGCTGTTAGTTTTTTTTTTTTTTAGTATGTTGGAGTTCCTTGTAAATCCTAGATGCTAGGCCTTTGTCAGACATACAGTAGGAAAATATTTTCTTCTAGTCTGTGGACTGTCTCTCTGCTTTCTCAGTGGTTTCTTTGGCTTTCTAGAAGCTTGTCAGTTTGATGAGGTCCCACTTGTCTATCTTATCTCTTATGGCATGGGCACTTGGGGTTTTGATCAGGAATTTGTTGCCAGTTCCTGGTTTTTAAAGTTTTTATAGTATGAGGTTTTATGTTTAGGTCTTTGATCCATTTAGAGTTGATTTTTGTGTTTGGTGATAGGTAGGGGTCTTGTTTTAATTTTCTGTGTGTGGTTAGCCAGTTTTCTTTTCCCAGCACCATTTACTAAATAGGTTCTCCTCTCTCCAGTGGTTGATGGTGGAGGCTTTGTCGAAGATGAGTTGGTTGAGAAATTGATGCTTTGCTTCTGGAATCTCTGTCTTGTTCCATTGGTTTGTATGCCTGTTCTTGTACCAATACCAGACTGTTTTGATTATTGTAGCTTTATAATAAAGCTTCAAGTCTGGGAGTGTGAAGTCTCCTAGTGTTTTTTTTTTTGGCTGAGAATTGATTGGTTATTTCTGGTTGTTTATGTTTTCATATGAATTCCTGTATTGTTATTTCCAGATCTGAGAAGAATGTTGCTGGTAATGTAATGAGTATTGTATTAAATTTGTAGATTGCCTTGGGTAGGATAGACATCTTAATAATGTTGATCCTTCTGATCCATGAACATGGAATATTTTTCCATTTGTTTGTCGTCTTTGATTTCTTTGAGCAGTGTTTTATAGTTTTCGTTGTAAAGATCTTTGGCTTATCTGGTTAGGAAGATGCCAAGGTATTTCATTTTTTTGGTGGATATTTTGAATGGGATTGTGTTTTTTATTTGGGATTCTTGTTTGTTTATTGTTGGTGTATAGGAATGTGACTGACTTTTACACATTTATTTTATGTCCTGAGACTTTACCAGAATCCTTTATCAGTACAAGGAGGTTTTTGACAGATTCTCTTGGGTTTCCAAGGTATAGAATCATGTCATTTACAAAGAGAGATAACTTGACTTTCTATTTTCCTATTTGGACACCCTTGATCGCCTTCTCTTCTCTGATTGCTCTAGTGAGGACTTCCAAAACTGTGTTGAACAGGAGGGGTGAATATGGGCAACCTTGTTTTGTTCCACATTTTTCAGGAGAAATGGTTCCAATTTCTGTCTGTTTAGCAGTATGCTGGCTGTGGGTTTCTCATAGTTGGCTCTTACTGTTTTGAGGTATGTTCCATCTATGCCTAGATGTTCGAGGGTTTTTATCAAGAAGGGGTGCTGGATTTTATCAAAATCTTTTTCTGCATCCAATGATATAATCATGTGTTTTTGTCTTTACATCTGTTGATATATTTAATTACGTTTATGGTCTTGCAGATGTTGAACCAGCCCTGCATCCCAGGGATGAAGCCTACTTTATCATAGTGGATGATTTTTAAGAAATCTGTTTTCTAAAGGAAAGATAGCTTTTTTTTTCAGGAAACAAGATAATATTGGAGAATTCAGTGAAGTAGATAGATGTAAAATAAACAAAATGAGGGGCTTTTCTCTCATTGGATGACAGTAATACTATTCAATAAATATGATGGGGGTATCTTTCTCAGAAACTATTTCAAAAAAAGCATAAGATACCTAAAAATGGAACTTAGATGGGAAGAATATGAAGTATTTTAGCAAAACACATTAAAGGCAAATAGGTAAGATGAATATATATATATGAAAAATACTAGTTCCTGAAATATGTCAATTATCTTCATTTTTAATGCATAGATTTACTGCACAACAAAAGTGTAGTTCAACTTTTGGTGTAGGAGTAAGGGGTGGGAGGGATGTAACAGAGTGAATCTCAAGTTAGTCTTAAAGAGTAATAAGGGGATAGATAACACATTTACAAAAGGAATTAAGTGGATATACATATTTAATAAGAAATTAAACCATACTATATCCAGTATGATAATAACAGTGTTATATTGGTTCAAGGAGAGAGAAATAAAAGAGTAAAAATCATGTAGCCTCAAATCAGACCTTAGTGTATAGATAATATTTTATTATATGACAAAGGTAGCTTTCAAAATATGTAGGGAAAAGACAGATATTTTGGACTGAATGTTGTTTCCCCCTAAAATATGTTGATACCCTAAACCCCTTGTGTGACTGTATTTGAAGATGGGCCTTTGGGAGGTAATTAAGATCACATGAGATGATGAGGGTGGAGCCCTAATCCAACAGGATTGGTCTCCTTATAAAGGGGGAAGTAAATGTGAGAGAACAATTTCTTTCTCTACAGGCACATATTGAGGAAAGACCAAGTGAGTAAACAGTGAGAAGGTAACCTTTTGTAAGTCAGAAAGCCCTAACTAGAAGCTGACCATGTTGGCACCCTAATATCTGACTACCGTTCTCTAGAACTGTGAGAAAATAAGTTTCTGTTTAAGCTACTCAATCTGTGGCGTTTAGTTACAGATGCCAGTCTGTTGTAGATAGCAGCTTATAACAATAATGTTACTGGATGTGATGAGTCATTTTCAAAATAATTAAATATAGAGTCCAGTCTCACACACTATGCTAATGTAAACTTTTTAAAGTTGTGATTTATGGTTTATATGTATAAAAAGGAACTATGGAAATATTACATCAAATAAAGATAAATAATTACATATGCTTTGGAATAGAGAAGATATGAAAAAGATATGCGTAAAGTAATAAAATTAATATATTAAAATGTTGAACCTTTTGTAAAGCTGCAGATCAAAAAAGGTAAGAGATATGAAACTTAAAAGAAAAAAAATCTGCAACATTTGTATCATGCTGGTAGTTAACATTTAGATTAAAGGCATTGGCTGGGTGCTGTGACTCAAGCCTATAATCCCAGCACTTTGGGAGGCCGAGGTGAGAGGATTACCTGAACCAATGGGTTCAAGACCAGCCTGGGCAATTGGGCAAGACCTAATCTCTACAATAAATGAAAAAATTAGCCAGGCATGGTAGTGTGCACCTGTCGTTCTGGCTACTTGGAAGGCTGAGGCAGAAGGATCGTCTGAGTTCGGCAGGTCGATGCTGGGTTGGCCCTGAGCATGTCACTGCACTCCAGCCTGGGCAATGGAGTGAGACTCCAACTCAAAAAAAAAAAAAAAAAAAAAAATTAAAGGTATCATAAAATAATTGAGTAAAACCAATTATATCAAATAGGATAACTATTCTTTATCAAATGCAAATAATTTATGAGATAGGAGAAAGTAATGATTATCTCTGATTTTAGGAATATAGAAGTTTAGATTATTTATATCAACCCTTCCACTGGAAACCGCTAAAATTGCTGCATTATATGTATAATTATATGTCTACCATATAAAACACTCTTTTGAGTCTCTAAGTGCTTAGTAAGGATAGTAAAGGGCTGACTTGGACAAATCCAAGATAAATTGGTTAGATAAATAGGCTAAACACTCAAGCTACCTTTTCCTTGTGGTCA